CTCAGGTATCTAAAATTCTCACCTAGTAAAGGAATTAGCTTTACAAGGTCAGAAAACTTTTGTTTAAGTGCATATGTTGATGTTGATTGGGGTAAGTGTCTGTCTACTAGACGCGCTGTTACTGGTTTTGTTTATTTCTTGGAAACTATTTGATTTCATGAAAAACAAGAAACAAAGTACTGTTTCTCGTTCTTCTGCTGAATCTAAGTATAGAGTTATGGCTTCAGCCTCTTGCGAAGTTATATAGGTCCTTAAAGTTTTACCAGATATTGAAGTAAAAAATCTTATTCCTGTTAGTCTGTACTGTGATAATAAGTCTGCTATACAAATTGCTAATAATATTGTTTTCCACGAACGAATTAAACATATTAAAATTGATATTCATCATGTTCGGGAACAAATTAGTAAAGGTGTTTTAAAGGTTGTAAAAATCCTTTCTTCTGAACAACCTGCCAATATTTTTACAAAACCCTTGGGATTAATCATCACAATTATTTGTGTTCAAAATTAAGGATGATTGATTTGTTTAAAAGTCAAGATTGAGGACGGGTGTTAAAATATATCAAATGTTTGCAATCTTGATTGACTTAACTATTGTCCTCATTTTGTCAGGATATAAACTGGCAAGGGTATACAGTGTTGATTCTACAAAGTTGTGTTGTTCGAGATACTTGAAGGACTGCGCCTCATATATTGGGATATTAAAGGGGTAGCGTAGCACATTGTCTACATTGCCAAGGACTATTCTTGCCATATTCCAGAAAATATATAAACGAGTTTCTTTCATTGATCTGGCTCATAATCCATTTTGCATGATTCATTTAAGATACATTTGTTATTGTTCTTATTTTAGCTTTAGTTTTCAAATGCTTGAAGTAGATTGTATAGATTTGTATGTTGTTCTTCGTTGATTCATGAAATAAAACGGTTTTCTTCAAGTTTGTACAGTTTTAACAAACCTCCATAAAACTCTGCAATTAAAAACCTCATTTTCATTATTCTATTTATAGAATATAACTTTATTTAAGGATTATTATATAAATTATATATATATTGTAAAATTAATAAAACAAAATTCAAATATAATTTATTAGTTTTCAGTTTTCTATATTAAT